AGAGTGTTCGAGAGAACAGCCTAGGCAACTTGGTGAGACCTCATCTCTACAATAAATCAAAAAATTAGCCAGGTATGGTAGCAGGCGCCTGTAGTTCTGGCAACTTAGAAGACTGAGGCGGAAAGACCGCTGGAGTCCAGCAGGTTGTTGATGGGGTGGCTGTGAGTTGGTGTCACTACACTCCAGCTTCGGGGAGGAAGTGAGACTCCAACTCAAAGAAAAAAAAATGCTTGAGCTGTTACATTATTTATTTGGTTCCAACATATTTATTTGGTCAGTAATGTAGACATTTTTGTTTGTTTGTTTGTTTTAATTTTAGATACGAAGCTTCACTATGCTATCAGGCTAAAGTGTAGTGGCTATTCACAGGCATGATCATAGTGCACTGCAACCTTGAGCTCCAGTTTTCAAACAGTCCTCCTGCCCCAGCCTCCTGAGTTGCTGGGATTCCAGGTACACACCACTGCACCCAGCGGTAACACAGATATTTTAAACTTCCAATATCAGTTAGGTAAAAGATGGCAACACAAACTGGGTAACTGAGGAGAGTTTACTAAAGGGGCTATTTACAAAGGTGTGGGCAGGACTAGTGAAATTGAAGGATGCTGTAGCACCATTGATGCTCACAACAGCAAAGGGTCTTTGCCAATACCAGGTCTAAAGGTGGAGGGAGCAGTTACAAGAATCAGGAGCTAGAGCCATATAGAAGGGTTGCCTGACAGAAGTTTTGGTCTTCAGCAGAGGTACACAATTAACTGGGGTAACCCAGCAAGGATAGAATCAAGGCAATAAACATACAACAACAGAAGAAGGAACTCTGTGAAGTTAGAGAAGTTATTGAAACCAAGTCTCCTCTAAAGCAAATGAATAACTATGGGATATTCTAACTTTCTCAAGCCTTGTGAACTAGAAAAACAGGATTTTTGATATTTAAAAAGATGTAAATATGACACTGCAAAGATTAGTTCTGGCCAGGCATGGTGGCTCACGTCTGTAATCTCAGCACTTTGGGAAGGTAAGAGGACAGTCTGACCCCTGGGGTTCAAGACTAGCCCAGGCAACTTGGCGAGACCTCATTTCTACAGTAAATAAAAAACAATTGCTGGGCATGTGGTGCTCCTATAGTTTCAGCTACCTGGAAGGCTGAGGGGGAAGGATCGCCTAAGCCCAGCAAGTAGAGGCTGAGGTAGCCGTGAGCATGCTGCTGCACTCCAGTATGGTCAACAGAATGAGACTCCAAGTTAAAAAAAACAAACAAAAAAGGATTAGTTGTGCAAAAACCCAGTAATCCTGAATTTGGACCGGAAATATCAGTATGAACTTCTAAAGTATTTCTTAGCTCTCCCTATCACAGTCTATAAACAGTGATTAATTCAGCTGCAGTGATCATCCCCAGTGCCCAGATGTAGTCCATATTTTGACCTGAGTGTTCACTTCATACTAATTCACCACACTATCCATATCTTTTGTATGGTTTTATTTCTTGTTCTTTATTTTATAATAAAAATGAAAAAACTACAAAGGCACAGAAAATAAAACTGTGGTATCAGTGCAGCAGTAGACAGATGAATGGGAAAGAAGAATCCAGAAAGAGACAGTGGCAAGGCCCGATCAATCAAACAGCTGCTATCTCTCGTGGCCAAAGAGAGGCAGAAACTGGGAGAAAATGGGCATTTATTCTGAAAACCAGAAATCAGGCTCAGGTGTTGGTCAAAAAATCTGTTTTCTGAGGCAAATTTTACATTCAGTATTTATAGCTAAAACAGGCAATGTCTTATCTATTTCTTTCTTTTTTTTGAGTTGGAATCTCAGTCACCCAGGCTGGAGTGCAGTGGCATGCTCACGGCCAACCCAGCGCTGACCTGCTGGGCTCCAGTGATCCTTCCACCTTAGCCTTCCAAATAGCTGGAACTACAGGTGCGCAACCATGCCTGGCTAATTTTTTATTTATTGTAGAGATGAGGGCTCACCAAGTTGCCTGGGCTGGTTTTGAACCCACGGGCTCAGGCAATTCACTCACCCTGGCCTCCCAAAATGCTGGGATTACAGGCTGCGCCACTGAGCCCAGCCCGTGTTATCTATTTCAACTATTGTTCAACAGTGTCTACATGTCTCATGACCATACCCAAAGTTTCATTTTAATCAGCGTTTAGTCTTTTCAGCACCTATTGGCATACACCAGTGTTTAGACTACATTAGTCTTTTTTTTTTTTTAAGCAATCCCAAGCTGAGTCTATTTAGTTATAATAGTAAGTTTTGGTTCACATATGAGCTAACTAATGATCACATAAGATATGAATCTAAACTGAATACCACAAAAGAGATTTACATTAAAAGAAATGAATACACTTTAGGGATTTCAAGAAGTTTCCCTTGAGTCTATCCCTTAACTCTTGAAGGTCTTTTCAGAGATTTGTAACTTTTTCATTTCTCACAGGCAGCTGTTTTCTTCAGTACCAGCCTGTTAGATAAATTGGTCTTCCAAACCAGTGGGCAAGGCCATGCTAGCACAAAAGAAGGGGAGGTTGCATTCTAAGGGCAGTAAAGAGGATGGAAGTAGAAGGAGGCGGAAAAAAAACCATGTGTACTTTAAGTTCAAGCAATTTACATTCAGCTTGGTTGAAACGATGAAAATAAGCCTTTTTTTTTACTTCTTAACCTGTTACAACCCATGTATATTTGGAATTTTTAGTATATGGTAAATATGGCATCTCAAAAGGTCAGGAAATGATGGTCTCTTCACAAAGGTTAAGACAAACTGCTATCCAATTGAAAATTAGAATCTTAGCTTACATCTTACGGAAAAATAAATTTCAGGTAGAATAAGAGTTAAACATTAGAAACAAAAATATAAAAATTTAGACACATATAGGAGAATACACATAGTGTGTTGGAAAAGAGCAGATCTTTTAAAAACAAATAAACCCCATAACATCCAGAAGGCATTAAGGAAAAGAGGTGAATAAATGTCATTACAAGGGAACTAAAAACATCAGTTTAACCAAAGACACTTTGAGGAGAGGGCAGTGGACGAAGGGCTGGGGATAAATGTATATGTTTGTGTATTTAATCTTTGATGGTCTTTTCATTTAAAAAAACTTCTAAGGTGGGCTCGGTGGCTCAGCCTGTAATCCCGCACTTGGGAGGCTGAAGTGAGTGGATTGCCTGAGCCCGCGGGTTCAAGACCTGCCTGGGCAACTTGGCGAGACCTCATCTTTACAATAAATCAAAAAATTAGCTGGGCGTGGTAGC